TAGTTGTTTATTTTGTTGTTGTGTAGTTGTTTATTTTGTTGTGTAGTTGTTTATATTGTTGTGTTATTTACATTGTGTTGTTGTTTATGTTGTTTAGTTGTTGTTTAATTGGTGTAGTTGTTTATTTTGTTGTGTAGTTGTTTATATTGTTGTGTTATTTATATTGTGTTGTTGTTTATGTTGTGTAGTTGTTTATTTTGTTGTGTCGTTGTTTATTTTGTTGTTTATATTGTTGTGTTATTTATATTGTGTTGTTGTTTATGTTGTGTAGTTGTTTATTTTGTTGTGTCGTTGTTTATTTTGTTGTTTATATTGTTGTGTTATTTATATTGTGTTGTTGTTTATGTTGTTTAGTTGTTGTTTATGTTGTGTAGTTGTTGTTTATGTTGTGTAGTTGTTGTTTATGTCGTTGTTGTCTCACTCCTTTCAGGACTTCCTCTCGGTGGTCACTGAACATCATGAACAGGTTGATTTTCCAGCTGGTGTTGCAGTTCACAGAGTTGACCTGCAGGGGGCGGCAGACATGTTTGTTTGTTATTATTTGTTGTTTTTAGTCGTTTCTTTAAATCTTTTCTGTTTTTTGAAAATAAAATCATGATTTAGTGTTAGTTTGTTTTGTGTCTCACCTCCTTACAGCCTGGATGGTCGGTCAGCTCGTAGTTTGAGGCGTGCAGCGGCTGACCGGCGTTTACTGGATTCAAGATGACTTTGTCTCCGACAACAACCTGCAGACAACAATAAACGGACAAGTAATTATTGTCTGCTTTGTCTCGGCTGTGATGTACTTCCTGTGGGCGTGGCCTGTCCTTACGTTGTCTCCGTTAGCGCGCAGCTTCCAGAAGGGTTGGATGAAGAGCCAGGAGCCTTCATTTCCTGTGGCGTCCAGAGTCACCCTCATGGCGTTCTTCTCCAGCAGCGCCGGCAGACGCTTGTTGACCGTCAGGTACTTGTTACTCTTCATGTGGAGCAGCTGGACACAGAGACCAGGGTCAGAGTCCAGACCAGGAGGACACAGAGACCAGGGTCAGAGTCCAGACCAGGAGGACACAGAGACCGGGGTCAGAGTCCAGACCAGGAGGACACAAAAACTAATGCTGCGTTCACACC